TTGCATTCCCATATTCTGAATATACTGAAATCCTTACACTTATTCTAGACTGCGTTAGAATTTGAATTCCCTCCAAGCATTCCATGACCCTTTGCGTTTAAAACCTTCAGGAAACTGAGATGGATAAATGTGCCTCATGTGAATCTTTATTCCATAAACCTTGCTTTGTAAAGCTCACGAAATGTCATTGTGGGGCGCGCCTTAGAGTCGATGAGACTGGTAGGCTCGCAAGGAAGGTAGGCCGTGGATTAGGGACGGATGGTGAGGAGAATGGAGGTGTGTACTCATTTCTGGGAAAATCAACTTCCATTTCGCCTTTGAGGTCTCTATCAGGCCTGTTTGCCAAAGAACATAAAGACAGTGAGAATATCATCGTCATGGGTTCTCTCCCTTCCACCTCCCTCTGATCATGTGCCTATTTTTTGTGTCTGGGCTACCATTTTTTTTTTATAATTCTAATGCCCCATTTGTCAATCTGTTGGATATATATGCTAAAATAATAAACACATCGATAATCAATAAGATGTATATTGTAACAATATTTTATGGTCAGTATGTCCGTTTATTTATTTATTTACCGCACTATTTATTTTAAAGTACTCATATTCTTTCCAAATCTATAATATTATCCGTGAGATCCCAGATCGATTGGAGTGAATATTGGGAAAAAATGAAACATTATTGGTAGGAGCGTAATATCTTTTGTTTAGCAAACTATTTACATAGCTCGAAGAGTATAATATTATTGTTTCTACATTATCATATTTTAAAAGGTTCGTTAGAATATTAGACAAAAAAGTGAATCTCAAACAAAATAGTAATTAAAAAAATATCAAACAAAATAATAATTAAAAGATATATAGTTAGTTATTTTTCTTTTTTGAAGTTCGGTTTCAAAGTTTTAAATTTTTTTTTTTTTATTAACTTGATAAGCTTAATTAATGACTTTATCCGTTTGTCAAGGAGTTATGGTACATGAGTTTTGTATTTATTGCAAAAACAAACTACTGTCTTAATATTAATGAAACTTTTAAGCATGGATTTAATTAGCAGTTATGCTACACGAGTTTTTTAATTATTATCAGAAGTCAAAATTATCCTCCATAATATTAGTTAATCACACTTTTAAGCATTAATTTAATTAGTCAAACCTAAAATAATAAAATAATTTCACCTATCCTTGAATGAGTTCTGTCCCTCGTGCTCCGGATGAGAGGTGTCACAAACTCAATAGTCCAAATATCTCTTTATTTATTGTTATTCTTCTTATTATTTATTTTTTATGGATATGCTCGAAAGAATAATGCAACAAATTGAATGATGAACGGTCGGGAAGGATTGGACCTTTCTTGGTTGTTCGAGGGCTCTACTTCTCTTCCCGAGCTGATGGACACTATTTATGAAGGGATGAAGTTTCTCTTGCTTTTGGCATAGCGGGCCCTAGCAAGAGGTCAACACGACGAGCCATCATCTCAATGGTAAAGCACATCCCTAATTATTGTGCCGTTGTGCCTAGATTAAACTAGAATACATCCTCAAATATTAAAAATATTCAATAAATTATTAAAATTTAAAAATTTTAATTAGTTTTTATTTAAATAATTACTTGTACTTAAACTTGATTATTTTTATTCATGATTTAAGCGTTAAATATTCTAAACATTATATGTTGCATCTATGAAAAGATCAGAAGTTGTGATCTTTATTTTTATTAAAATTAAAAAAGCGAGTATAGCGCATGAAATAAATATTTTTTGGTTCATTATTTAAAGTTATTAACTTCGTTCACTTGAATCATCATTTCTACTAAATCAAGTTCTTTCTTCACTTCAAACTCCATTCCCGCCACCATGCCCGCCGTACTCACCGGAGCATAGTACTGCGATTTCTCCATTTCAACTCGACGAAACTCAACTGATTCTTCATTGTCGTTATATCTTTTCCGATCATAATTATTGGCGTCGTCAACGGAGGCGCCGGCAATATCTTCCATGAGCGAGTTGATGCTACATCCTTCCGGAAAGAAACTATCGTCCAGGTAAATCTCTGGTTCGTCCTTGAAATCGAAATTCGGAACTGTCCAATCGTTAGGGCAAAACTCAGTGATTTGTGCTTGATGATGATGACGATGATCGGTCACTTTTGATTTAGTGTTGTTGACGGCGGAGGTGGCTGAGCTTTTCTTCTGGTGGCGAGCGGCGACGGTGTCCAGATTCAGGCTCTTGATGTAGTCCTGCAGAAGAGAACACCTCGGATATTTGGATCTGCATTTTCGCTTTGAATATTGCCTTCTCTTCGTCGCATTCCAGTGGTTTTTTATGGAGTTTTCTGTTCTTCCAGGTAATCTCTTCGCTATTTCCGCCCATTTGTTCCCGATTTCTGAATGCGCCTCAATCAAAACCCTATCCTCTTCTTCACTCCATGTATCTTTCTGCATTCATTTCCATGATTAAATTCCCTATACATTTCAAGTAATTATGAAAGGAAAACGAAAAAATTGGAATCAATTTTGGAATTGAAAATACCTTAATGTCAGGCCTGAGATGATTGTGCCATCTTTCTCTGCACTGTTTTCCTATTCTTCCTGGCAGCATCTGCGCTATATGAGACCATTTTCTCACTCCATATTGTTCAACCAATTGAACCAAAAGCCTGTTTAGTTTTAGAGAAATATCAAACCAAAAGCCTATAATGATATTTCAGTATGAGAATTTGATTAAGAACATTGAGATTTGTTGAATTGGGAGGGGAGGATTATCTACCTATCTTCTTCAATTGTCCACTGGCCTTTGATCACAGTAGGCTTCTTTCGAACTTTAGATGTTCTTAACAGAGATGGAAATGATGCATTCTTATTCATGATAGCTTTCTGGATATGGCCATGTCCTGAAGTTACGCAGGACACTTCATCAGCTACAATGAAATTTACAGGTTTTATTTCTTCGAAATTCAATGGAATCATGGAGTTTCTTTCTAATCCCATTATCTCAATTTGATTCCTCTGATAATAATAATCTCCACAACTTTGGAAGTTGTCCATAACTTGCCCACACCCACCATTTTGATCTGCAGTGCAACCTTTACTAAAATCATACAAATCTTCAACGCCCATATTGTTATTCGAAGAACACCCATATGAGTATGGATTCAAAGGATCGAAACTGCACAGGTTTTCGTCTTCCATAACAGGATGATTGGACGATGAACCAATGGGATGAAAATGATCCAGGTTGTGAAATTCTTGCAGATAATTACCTTTTGATGCAAAAATTTCGAATGATAATTCATCATTCTTGCAGATTTGGGCATAATTTTCTGAACAAACCTGTTGAATCTGGGAGCTAAGATTTTGTCTAAGACTCGATTCGAACTCCATGAGTGCAAGAAAAAACGAGAAATTGGGAGGAGGAAATTTAAAATTGTTTTGTGTTCTTCTCATTTATATTGTGTCTGTGAAGATGACAACTCTTATTGCGGAGGTTTCATTCTTTATTGTACTATTAAATCACATTTATTACTGTTAATTTGTTAGAGAATTACACACAATATGTGATTTAATTAATCAGACTAATTTTCTTTTATGGGGTTTTTAATCTCTATATGCATATTAATTTTAATTTTTCAGAAAAAAAAAAGTTCATATTGTCAGTAATTGAATCCGGTCCAATTGGAAACGGACCAAAATAAATTGAGTCTCATAATTATATAAACTTTTATGTTACATTTGGTGATATTAATTAATACGAACTTATGTCTTTGACCACAACAGGCATAAGTTCAAATTAATATTACCGAATTTAAATATATTAGTTTTAATAATTTCATATATATATATATATTAATTCTAATGTTTTTATATTCTTGTATGGATGAATTATATGCTGTGATTTTTAAGTATTTCTTTTTAGTTCAAGTATTTTGGGGCGAATATTCACATTATTTACGTCCATTAAACTATACTCATATTAACATTACTTCTAGAATTATCAAGTTTGTTTGGTATCTTACAAAGATTCTCCTTTTTTGATTTATAACATATGTGACAATAAGATGAAGAAGAAATATATAGTTTCTTAGGTTTGACAAAATGGTAGCAAGTAAGCCCTCCTAATCACAGAAAAGTCAAGTCCAATACGATTGGAAGTTGCCCCTATAATTCTAATTCTTCATTTCCTTTCATCCTTCCTTGGTCAACCTTGAATCATAAACTCGGTCTATTTCACAACAACTTTCTCAATGTTCAATTTTCTACCTACTTTCATCTTTCATATTCAACGACCATCTTATACTAATTTATTTTCGATATTGATTATTATAGTAGTTCTATTCTATAAGTATAAATTGTGCTTCTGTATTATTTAAAATCAAGATAAAGAGAGATCAAAACTATTTTTAAAATAGTCAAAAATATGAGAATGATTTCTTTTTTCTAATTTTGGTACGAAAAAGAACAAGCAAGTATCACATAAAAGAAGAAACACTTTTGAGCCATTGACATAAAAACATTCTTGATAATCCTAACTACCCTATAGAAATCATCCAAACATTAATAAAAAATGTTAGGTCAATAAGATAGTATATAGTAACTAACTTAGATCTCATTAAAATAAGATGGATGGAGTCTAAGTTTTGGTTAGAATAGAATATTGGTTTGTGAATATTGATGTGTTGTACTAACTAATATCACAAAAGGTGGAATGGTACCCCTGTTGATCTTGATGTACCAACAACTAACTCATAATCTACTCGCTATTTTCACCAAGAATTTTGAGTTCTCTTTTTATCTGGATTCTTTGAATTGCAGTTTTATTGTTGATCTGATTTTCTTTATTTACGCTCTCCAGAAAAGAGGAACTGTTGAATGTTAGTCATCTCCTCAGTGGTTGATGGGACATCCTCGATATCTCCCTTGTAACGGGAGGGAGATATTTTAAATGCAAGGGAAAAAAAGAAAAAAAAAAGGTTGGGTGGGTCCAGCCCAGTGGGCCGCCATTCTAACGTCACGGTCCACTTCCACAGCCCGTAATTTTGTTCAAATTTCAAAGCGAGATAGGAACAATCTTTGGTCTTAATTAGCATTATTGACACGTGTTATTTCAAAAATGAAGCCAAAAAACCCTCTCTGCCAATTAATTAAAGCGCGCAAGTCGTATCCGCCGTTCGTTTCATCGTTTTAAAATTAGCCGCTCTGGCGCCTTCTCCAATTCCAGTTCCACCTATAAAGCTTAATCGAAAGCTTTCATTTCCCTGACTTTCCGCCATTATCGCAGAGCTTCCTCTCTCTCTCTCTCTCTCTCTCTCTCTCTGAAGCTCTGAGAATCGCGACTGCGGATTTTCAGGCAATGGAAGCCGAGGAAGGTCCCACACACCTTTCGCCGTCGCCGACTTTTAGCATCTATTCTTCAGGTAGCAGTAGCCTCGCTGAAATTGCCGCCAGCGCTGTTAGGGAAATTGGAGAAGAACCGTTTGCAGATGCTGATAATTACGGCTGGGAGTCCCAGGGTTCGGTTTACCGTTTCCGAGAAAATACGTCCAACAGCCATGCAAGGGAATCACCGGAAGGAGTTAGAAGTGATGACTGTGGTAAAAATGGCGACAATGATGAATTTAAGTTTGTTGTTCTCTGCAGAGAACCAGACGCATTTACGAGCCCTGCTCATGAGATCTTTTACAATGGTCAGATCATGCCGGTTTATCCGGTATTCAATATGGACTTACTGCTAGACAACGGCTCACGAGTAGGCACCGTATTGGAGAACTTGAAGAAGTCGACTGTGCATCGTTCGCCGTTGAGAAACAAGATGAACGAAGAGGAGTGTAAAACGACGTCGGTTTCCTCGTCTGGAGCGGACGGTCTTGCAGGCGTTCCATCGGATACGTACTGCGTCTGGTCTCCTAGCCCTGAGAAAACACCACCCGAAAAGAAACATAAAAGAATAGAATTGTTAAACAGGTGGAAATTTCGGGATCTTATATACAATCACATTCTAAGTAAGAGTGAAGGAGCGGATGCACTCATGATGAGGACGACGATTATTAAGAAGGACGATCGGCCTGGAAATGTACCGAAGATGAAGAAAGATGGTTCAAGAAGATTATCAACATCCTCTAGTAGTCCTAATTTTGGTTCCACATCCTTCCCTGCACAGAGCGTTCGTTATGGGTGGAACAGAACGGTGAAAGAAGCGGAAAAGAGGAGGTCCAGACAACATTGGGTAGGATATGTGGCTAATGCCAACGCAACCATCTAGAATTTGCATCCATTCGGAAGATTTGTTTGTGGTTGAATTGCTGGAGATCCTTAACTTTTGATTTGAAAAGAACAGAAAATAGTGTAGTTCCCAATCAGGTTTTAGTTAGGTTTGTCCTCGTCTCTATAATTCTAAATATTTTACCGATTGTTTTTCTCATCGAAAACGCAGTTTCCTTTTATGTGCTGTTTTAGAAAAACTATAAGTTGTTTGTATGTTTGTTCTTTGAATTAAGATGATTCAGAATGAGACTCATATTTCTGTTAGATCTTCACTCTCCTCTTGCGAGCTTCTGGTGATTATAGGTTCTGTTGTTAATGGTTGATCAGTTTTTCTGTATGATATTTTTCCCTTTCTTTGTTGGAAGTCGGCAAGTTAATGCGTTCAATATTGCTATTTATTCAACTGTATAAGAACCACAGGTAGTATTGATATATAGCCTACCGCATTAGAATGGTTCTTCTACGGAATATCACATTAGCATAGTTATTAACATATTTAATTCGGTCAATTAATAGTTAGTAAACCTGTTTAACATAAATAATGCATCTGCTTTTCCTATGCATTTTCATATAATCCAGTTTCATTAGATATGCTTTTGAATTCTTCTTCTCACTGTATTTTGGATGCTAACTGGATTGATTGATATTTATATTCTACCTAACTTTCTTACCTAATGTGATGCAGTTGGTATTGAATCTAAAATGCTCATTATCTGGTGAGAATGAAGGAGGTTCCATCTTCCAAGTAAGTTTCTATCTAACTTTTGGCTTTTAAATTTAATTTTACTTTCACAAGTCAAGTAGCCATGGTTTGTTCTTGCATTATATTTTATATATACATCAGTTACAAAAACACCTACTACATGTAGGTCAACCTCAACATAGTTGAATTAGTTAAAGTTAATATTATCTACCAAAAAGTTAGAAGTACAAAAAAACGGTTGCCTTCACGTTTTTCACGAAGAGAAGCAACCACATCCCACAAGGAGTCTGTTTATGTGGTGGTTCAGATAAGGTAACTAAATGAGCTGCTAGTGTATCAATCTACTCCTTTTTTCCTCTTTCACAGAAGGGGGAAAACGTTTCATTCCTTCTCTTGTGAATGCGATAAATGTAAGCTATATAATCCAGACTTCTTATGAAACATCTAAGTTTAGGATTTAGGGTACTTATGTTATCTAGAATGAATCATGATCCGGGTTTTTTGTAACGGCCCAAGCCCCTTCTTTGGGCTTTTCCTTCCGGGTTCCCTCGAGGTTTTAAAACACCTAGGTTTCCATACTCTTACATTGCCCTCTCCAACCAACGTGGGATCTCACATTTTTGGTCTTCGTCCATTATTTTTGTCATTTTCCAAGCCAATCCTATAGGTGAGTAGCTATTTCAGCCAGTCGCTGTCCATTGGACCCTGAAAGTATCCCACAGATTTTCTAGGGAGTTCACTTTAAACACGAGTGCTTATAGTCCCTGATCCTTTCAGCTTTCACATTGAAAACATTACGGAGACATCTTTAAGTTGTAGGCCCATACCTTCACTGATAGATGGAAAAGCTAATAATATTGAAATGTTTAGTAAAACGTAGAAACTAAGGGGAGTTGTCGGAACTCTGGCCCACACAACAGAACCCATCTATCTATTTGAAATTGAGACATACATATCACATGAACGAGGCAGACCGTTCAAATTTCTTTTAGAAAAGCAACTGTCCTTGAAAACTAAGAACTCTGAATATTAAAAAAACAACTGGGAATTATGGAATGTTTTCGAAGTCTGATAGTAGTCAAAGAATTTATGGCGGCGTGACAAATGATTCTAAAAGTAGCTTTATTAAAGAGAGATGACAGGAACCAGAAATTGAGGGAGAAACTAATGAACATATTCCTTCTAATATTAGAAAGAAAATTATAAAGTTTCAATCACTTGGACAGGCTAATATAATACTTTTTTCCAGAATATATCCCAACTTTGCCCAGCCACTACAACAATTTCTTAACTAAGGGCTAATGTTCTCTCCCTAATAATCCTATCAAGATATTTTGAGACAATTAATTGCCTAATACCATAGTAGTTAAAGACTAGAACCATAAAACTTTTTTCTCAGAAGGGAGGAATTTTCATTTAGCATCCTCCTGCAATTCTTACCTTTTTCTGCTGGTAAGTTGGTTGTTGAGAACTTTAGTACCAGGTTAGTGTTGGATATCAATATATCAGCTAATTAGCCAAATTTCCATCAAAATAAAACCAGCCATGGCTGCCAGATTCAGCCGAGAATATTTCATTTTCTTTGAATCTCTTTATACATTTAAAATATTTCTATATTTGATATTCTTTTTTACTGTTCAACCATAGTCTAAGCACTGGTTTTCTCGGTTCTTTTTGCCCTTTTTAGTTTGGATACAGGAAGTGGAATGGTATGGCTTGAATTTTGAATAGAAATTTACAATCTAGCGGGTTTCTTGATCATTTTCTATCTTTTAATAGCCTTCTGAATTTTGTTTTTGAAATTTAAATTCATGAATACTTACCTCCACTTATTTTCTGTTATCTACCTTTACAAATGTGAGAATTTTGGAAACAAAAATGGTTTGGAAAAACTTGTTTTTATTTTTTAAAATTTAACTAAAAACATGAAATGATTCTTTAAAAAACCAACACAATTTCAAAATTTTTAATTTTTAATTTTAAATCTTTATCGAATTTAGAATTTTTAAAAACTCATTTAAAATTTTTGAAAACTAATTGACCTGTTAAATTTAAATAACATTCTAAACCTTTTGAGACTATTTATATTAGTTTTTTCCTTCCAACAATTTGAAGGATTTGTACTTGGTAGATGGTAAGATAGCCATTTTTCATACACATTATTCAGAGAAGACGTTCATTTCATTTTTATATTCAAAATAAATCCATATTTAAGTTGCTAACTCAATTTTACTTTGAATATATGTTAAAATATACATCAAAATTTTAAATTAGTAGAATGGAATTTGTTTGTGACCTTTTTGTCTGCAATATGAGTGAATAAGAACTCTCGATGAATACATCTTCCCTTCCCAATTCACCTTATAACCTCCGCTACTTCCAATTGTTCCTCAAACAATCTGAATGTTGTACAATAGATTGAAAACCAGAATTGGGCTGTCATCTGACAGTCCCATAAATTTATTTCACTTCCATTTCCCTGCATGAACTTCAACATCACAATTGATTCATAGTTTTATGCTGTGGTTATATATATAACTTTTTTTTTTTTTTTTTTAATTAAATTCCTAACTGGTCCTTTTAAGCTACCTTCTCCAGCCTGGCCAGTCTGTGAGACAGAGAGCAAAACTTCCAGGTCTTCATCAAGGCCTCAGGGAAAGGTTACCTTGTTGCAGGTGAACATAGACGGCGGTCATGCAGCTACAGGGCTAAAAGAAGAGGAGGACTGCAAACTTGCGGCGTAAACCCTTGCCCACGAGTCGTAATGTACGATCTCCTCAAGGGAAGGCGCACTGATCAATTCATTTCGATGCTTTTCACATGTTAGCTCCACAATCTTGAAAATATCCAAGTAGCTGATTCTGAAAACAAGCAAAACCAAGGATTATTTGGAGAATTCATGAAGAAATAGACTAGCAAAGTACAAGGTAAGCAGAGTCCTATACTAGACCAAAGGTAAGGTAGATAGAGGGTGGTAATGTCAATGGAGAAGGTGCTAAATACATACTTTTCATCGATGAACATTTCCACCGCCTTCTCATTAGCTGCACTCAGGACTCCAGTCATGGTTCCTCCCGCCCGTCCAGCAGCATAGGCCAGATCCATGGATGGGTATTTTACATTGTCTGGAGTTTTGAATGTGAGTGAACCTAGCCTGCATCATGCCATTTGAAACGAAGGGGAAAATATGTCAAATTGGGCATAGATGATCATGAAGGATTAGCTTAAGTAACACAACCACATAAGAAAAAACACGACAATCATTAAGATTTTGAATTGGAAGGACGCATATTCTCGGAGAAGAAAAACAAGAGCATTACAATGATGGATTAGAGAGAGATAGAAAAGCATACTTGCAAAGATCAAGGCGAGGCCAAGTTATTTCAGAGCAGTGTATTCTATCTGGCCATGTTATGGTGTATAGAATGGGCAAGCGCATATCAGGCCAACCCAATTGAGCTAAAACAGATGAATCCTGGAGATCGAGAGAGAGAGAAGACTTCAAGATTATTTCAAGATTTTAGTTACTAGTTGAATCTGTTACAATTTGTTTTGAACTGAAGTTAATTATTACTGTAGTATGGTACAGACCTGTGTTTCTACCATTGAATGTATGATCGATTGCGGGTGGATAACAATCTCAATGTTATCGTATTCCGCTCCAAATAAATAGTGTGCTTCAATCACTTCTAGACCCTGTCGAAAACGAAAAGTGAAATCTACCTTGTTACATGCAATTAAACAACAAAAAGGTTAGTGCTTTGAATATGCAACGGGAAGATGAACACTAAACCTTGTTGAAAAGAGTAGCGGAGTCAACAGTGATTTTCTTTCCCATGCTCCAGTTGGGATGCTTTAAAGCATCTGCAACTTTGACATCCTTCAACTTTTCAACCGGCAAGTCTCTGCATTAACAGCCTCAATAAATTATCTATTTGTGGCTTCTTCAATTTGGAGAATATCTATACACACAAATGTGTAAATAAGGTTCATATTGTAAAAGGTCAACAGACATTTGAACGCAACAAGCCATTTTAATGGTAGCTAAATCTATTTTTCTTCTTCAAGTTGAGCAGAATGTTTCAGAAGTTTTCATATTTAAAAACCTGTTACCCATGATTTTACAGAACTTATCTCTTCAAAGCTTATAAACATAAATAAAGAATTCATTTTGTAACATAGTCGAGGGAAAACAAAATGCACGTCTCACATTGAGTATAAGGAAAAAAATCATTTAAAAAATAGAAGAAATTAAAAAGGAAAAAAAAAAAAAAACCCTTTTTGCTCAATGATTAGCAGAAGTATAATATTTGTTTATTCGATTCAGTAACTTATACCAAAGCATTATATAAATGAATACCTGAAAGCCCCGCCAGATGCAGTCAAAATAATGCGGCGAAGTGCACCCTCGGACAGTCCCTGAATACACTGGAGACGGACATATCTTTAAGATCCTCCAGAAAAAATATAGATTAACCAATTGATATGGGATATGCAAAGATCTAAGTATCTAAGCAGCATCAGTTGGTAGAAGAAAAAAATACTTGTTAACACAAGTTCCGATCAACAAATTCATTAACATACCTGGAATATTGCTGAATGTTCTGAATCGGCAGGAAGGATCTTTACATTATGCTTGTGGGCAAGGGGAAGAACAAAGGGACCACCAGCAATCAGAGTCTCTTTATTCGCCAAGGCTATGTCTTTCCCAGCTTCAATTGCAGCAACGGTAGGCTAAACAAAGACACTAAGTTCAGCTTTCTAGGCACTGTTGTTCATCTATAAATTCTCAGCTAACACAACATAAGGTGCTAACAAGCAATCAGAATGCTCGTTATGCTAAACATACATGTATATAAGCTCCTGAAGAGATGTTCCCAAAAGAACCACTGTTATTCCTACTGAAATTAGGAATTTCGGGGAGTATGTTCTTTGGTGAAACATACATGTGTAGGTGTAACTATATACCTTAGACAATTAGAAAACAGTGACCAACGGAGTACCTTTAGTCCAGCACAACCTACTATTCCTGTAACAACAGTGGCTGCGTCTGGGTGTCTTGCAGCCTGAAAGTTTTTTAAAAACATCGTTTAAAGAATGCAAATGGCTTTCATCAGTTAGGTTCATAACAAAGACTAGGCAGGGACTAATACCTCAATTACTCCCTGCTCGCCAGGGATAATCTCAGGC